GTCTCAGACTTTCCTCCCTGGGCTGGTTTTGAACCAGGATCCTCACATCTCAGCCTCCTAGGGAACTAGGATTACAGTCATGAGCCAGCAACACCCCGCTCCTCTTCTCTCAACTACACACCCTTCCTTTCCACTGTTGACTACTAGTATTACCATAGAATTCCTTTAGGACATTAAAGCTCAACCAGAAATTGTTCCTCAATGATAAGCTAGGAAAACTCCGTGAGTCAGTACCAATTTGAATATTACTTTTATTTAATCTTATCATTACTTACCCATTTCTGTTCCTAGCACCACAGAAATGTATATTCATTTTTGGCTGTCTTTCCAAGGTTATATACTAAAGACTACATTGGCTTACATAATTGAGTGAGGATTTAGGGAATATTCTTGCTTAGAAGGTGGAGATTGGGAGGATCAACTTTGTGGGCCAGTTGGAGCATAAAAAGTCTGTGAGACTCCAACTTAACTGAAGGAGCTGGACATGCTGGCATGTGTCTGTCATCTCAAATATATCAGGAAGGCAGATCATGGTCCAAACAGAAAGCAAGACCCTACCTCAAAATAATAAGCAGCAGGGGCTGGGAAGGTGGCTCAGTGGTAGAGCTCTTGCCATGCATGCATGAGGCCCTGGGTTCAATTCCTCAGCACCACATAAGCAAAAAGAAAACAAAGACGGAAATGGTGCTGTGGCTCAAGTGGTAGAGTGCTAGCCTTGAGCTAAAGAGCTGAGGGACAGCGCCCAGGCCCAGAGTTCAGGCCCCACGACCGGACCCAAAAAATAATAATAATAATAAGCAGCAGAAAGAGCTGGAGATGTTACTCAAGTGACAGAACACCTGCCTACCTAGCACAGTGCCCTGAATTCAAATCCCCAGTACCTCCAAAAAAAAAAAAATGTAAGCCAAGTACTGATGGCTCAAGCTTATAATCCTAGCTACTCAGAAGTTGAAATCTGAGGATTCTGGTTCAAAGCTATCTGGCAGAAAAATTCTTGAGACCCTTATCTCCAATTAACCACCAAAAAAGCCAGAAGTAGAGCTGTGGCTCAAGTTGTAAAGTGCTAGGCTTGAGCACACAAGCTCAGAGACAGTGGCTAAACCCTGAGTTCAAGCCCTAGGACTGGCACAAAAAAAGTTGAGAGGCTTTCGTATATCTAAATCAAGTAAAATTTATCCAGACATACGGGAGATATTCAGTAATATAATTAAGAACAATTAGAAGTCTAAAGTCAGTTTAAAATCAATATGAGGTATTTCTTTTCAATTATGTAATGTGAGTTTATAGCACTTCAGCTGTTGACATATAGAGCTGCTTATCCGAGATTACTTTATCTTGAAGATAAGAGATGTTCACTTTCTGTCTTATAAACCCCACATGTGTTTTTGACAACCAGTCAGCACATCACAGCTGGAGCACGAGAAGCAGGGCTAGAAGGCAGGGCGTTGCCATGTGGGAATTCAGACTCACTGTACCACAATGTGACTCTAGAACTTGGATTTTTTAATTTAATCTTTGCTAATGGCAACAGACAACAATAACAGAAAACATCAATGAAGTAATACTCAGATGATCCTTTTCCCCTCCCTCTCTTCCCACAATCCCCCAACATCTGGTGATGTGACACAGCTGAGAAAGACCACTTGTGTCTCAACTTTTATGACTCTGACGGTCAAAAGCCAACTCCTGTTTTCCTGTGTGCAAGCCTAATGTTGTCCCAAGAGACTGGGACCTCAAAAACACAGGGTAAATATAATAACATAGCTGTTTCTGAAGACAATCCGAATTCTAGCCTCCCTAGATAGGTGATGTGTGACAATTTGCTTCCAAATCCTCATTTCTGTCTGCCAGTAACATCTAACCACCATCACCACCATTACCACCATCCTCTGCCAACACAGCTCTCGGCCAGCTCTCTTCCCTCTCAGCTAGATTGGTGGCCCCAGGATGAAAGAAAGCACATGGGGCGTAGGCCACATCTGTGCCTATACTAACCTTCTGGACTCTTCCTTTGAACATTTAGTTTCAGGCTCCGATAATGGAGTAGATGTCAGGAGAAGGCCATCTGGTCCCAACACCAGATGGCCTTCAAAATACCAGAATGAAGGACTGAGTCTGTGGCCTGCTTAGAGGCATGTTGATCCAGTAGAAAATAAATGACATTCCGGGTTTGCCTTTCAGCCAAGCAATCTATTAACTCTCTGGACCTTGGGCAGATTACTAGTCTTCTTAACGTCCATTTCCTTTTGTAGGAAATTTCTGACATAGCAATAATATCAGCTAATGTTTATTGTTTATTATTCTATCCACATCTCTCCTTTAAATACTTAAAGCAGCCCATGAAGTAGGGACTACCACAAAGCCTGTTACAAAAAAAAAAAATTGTGGTGAATAAAGAATTCAGACAAACTTACACTTACTTTTAGAGGCAAAAGCTAACACTGAAAGCCAGACCTTTCTCCTAAAGCCTTGCACAGGAGCTCTCAGATCTCAGACTTGACAAACATCACACACCAGCAGGCACCGGTGGCTCAAACCTATAATCCTAGCTATTCAGGAGGCTGAGATCTGAGGATCACTGTTCAAAGCCAGCCCAGACAGGAAAGTCCATGAGATTCTTATCGCTGATAAACCACCAAAAAAACCAGAAGTGGCACTGTGGCTCAAGTGGTAGGGTGCTAGGCTTGAGTTGAACTGCTGAGGGACACCACGCAGGCCCAGAGTTCAAGCCCCACAACTGCCAAAAAAAAAAAAAAAAAATCACAAACTACCCCAACTCTCTCAGTCCCAAGCTCTGTCCATTCACTTACATATTTTTTGAATCTCTTTTATAACTATAAAGTATGTATAATACCAGTCCTAGGGGCTGGGAAGGTGGCTCAGTGGTAGAGTGCTTGCCTTGCATGCATGAGGCCCTGGGTTCGATTCCCCAGCACCACATAAGCAAAAAGAAAAAAGCCGGAAGTGGAACTGTGGCTCAAGTGGTAGAGCACTAGCCTTGAGCTGAAGAGCTGAGGGACAGCACCCAGGCCCAGAGTTCAGGCCCCACGACTGACCCCCAAAAAAAAATATCAGTCCTACCCACTTGTGCTTGTAGAGTTGTATGAGTATGAGATGATGTCTCTGAGAACACATTGACAACTGTGGCCTTCTACCTTACAACAGCATTGCTCTCATTACCAGTTAGGAAACATGTACCAAGAGCCTAGAAATGAGCATCTTAACTACTGTATTTTAGTCTCAGACATCCCTCTCTCAGTAACTGATCCTTTTATTTCACTGCTGCATGAAATTAACAGGATAGAAAATCTTACATACTTAATGTCAGTCAGGTTTCTCATCTGCAAAATGAGGGTATCTGCCTATAAGGGTGAAAGGGACATATATCAATGCAAATTACAACATGATAGCCAAGTATAGATGAAAAAGCTTTGACAGGCCAAGTGCTTTCCAAAGGTAACATGGTCCTATTTTTATAATGAGTCATACCTTCTTCTTCCTCAAAGGTGATGAGCGCCTGTCCTCTCTGTAGCTCATAGAAAATTTGTGAACTAACTTGAAATGAACAGGAGGCATTTAAAAACTGGCTGTTATTCTTAGACTTCTTTACTGAGGTGAATTTTATCTGTGCTTCGGGAATATCCTCTTTAATCTAGTTCAAACAGAAAGATTTAATTAAAATAAAGCCAAGAAATAACTCCATCCAGTGACTATGTAATATGGACATCCAATAATACTTTAGCAACTGCATGTCCTGTGCAACTACTCAGTAAGCTAATCAAATGCTGATCCTTCAGTTTCTCACAGATGGAATTATACTTATGTAATCCTCTCACTTTTTGTAATCATTGTTTAAACTGCTCAATAATTAGTGTTTGATCCCAAAGCCAACATTACTCATATAGATAAGTATCTTTTGAATAACTGAATCAATCACCCACTGTCTCATCAGGAAATCATTATTACGCTTAATTTCATGGAAAAAATATGAAATATAGAGTTGAATATACTTGATAACCCTCAGATAATTTTATCCCAAAAGAACGGCCCCAGGAATTATACAAATTTGTCAAATTTAAATTGCATTTTCCTCAACACCTGCCTTTCAACATTTTTTAGATAGTTTATTGTGAAAATGCTGTACAGAGGGGTTACAGTTACTTGAGTAAGGTAATGAGTACATTTCCTGTCAAGCATTGTTGCCTCCTCCTTTGTTTTTCTCCTACCATCCCTTCCTTCCCCCACCTCCCTCACTCCATCCCCCCCCAAAGCTGTAAAGTTGTCTTGTGAGTACCATTGTTGCAATGGGTCATCCTGTGTCCTTGCTTCAGCCTTTTGTTATTCCCCTTCCCCTCCCCAAATTAAATAAATGTATATACAAGATGCAGGGTACCAAAATCAAGTACAGTGACAACAGAGGATATACCATAAGGGGAAGAACATACAAAGAAACAAAAAAAATTACATAGTACATTAAAACAACAAAGAATGACCTCTTGTGTCCATATCTTGGGGTTCATTTCGCTTAGCATCTTCTTATACATATGTACATAGCTTTTGAGCTTTTCTACTCATCTGATAAAACACAGGTGATTATACCTCACTTATTTATTTTGAAGATGGAGTCTAGTATACTTTTCTTTCCAAGCTCATGTCAAATCTCCAACCTCCATTTATCAGTTTCCTGATTAACTAGGATTGCAGAAATGAGTCACCTGCACTTACCCAACCCTCCAGCCCTTTGCCTTTGCTATTTTTCCTTATGTTCAGATGGCTTCAACCACGATCTTCCTATTTAAGTTACCCTGTGTCACTGGGATGACAGGTACAAGCCACCATATTCAGCTTTCTATTAGTTGAGATGGAATCTGGAGAACTTTTTGTCCAGGCTAGGCTTTTCCAATCTGGGCTTCCTGAGTACCTAGGGTAACAGGAATAAGCTGCCACACATAGCTCTATTATATATATGTAATGCAACTTCAGTAGAATTTCTAGTAACCATAGGCTAAATTGAAAACAGTTTGCAATGTCTGAGAAAAGGCAGAGTGCCTTCTAATCATGTAAAAATATACCATACAACTGAGAAGTCAAGAGTTCTCTGGAGTTACAGTGAGAAAGCTCAGAAGGATCTCAGTATGGATCCTCTGTAAAGTGTGGACACTAGACTGGCTGTTTTCCAAAGACCCAGGGTGCTAAATAGCCAGAGTCTAACACTCTCCTACCAGAAGTCACCTATCTACTAAACTCAGGAAACATCACTTCCTATCTCCCAATTCAATAACAAAAAAGTGACAGTTTTATTTTTAATAATCTAGGTTTTTAAAAAGAAACCGGGCTCCAAGTTATGTCTTATGCAAGTACAGGAAAGTTTAGGAGACATTTTAGGAGAGTTAATCTGTCCAATTTTTTTTAAACTGTGAAACTTATTTAGTCTAGAACCATTAATAAAGAGAATAAGAAGGGGATTCCATGAGAAGGGCCAAGTATGTGATCCAAAAACATAGTGATAATGAGCATTTGTGTATCATTCAATTGCAGAATTATACTCCAATTCCTTTAACTCTGTAACTTTTTGTGTTGTGCATATGCGCATGTGCATGCGCGTGCATACAGGCGCGGGTTTACCTGGGGCTTGAGCTTAGGATCTAGGTACTGCCCTAAGCTTTGGTGTTTGAGGCTATCTTTCTTACAGTAGAGCCACAGCTCTACTTCCAGCTTCTATGACTGATTGGAGCATCATGGACTTTCCTGTCCAGGGTTGGCTTTGAACCATGATCCTAAGATCCGAACCTCCTAAGTAGCTAGGATTGCAGACATAAGCCACCAATGACCAACTTTCTCTTTGTAAGTTTTATTAATTTGGCAATTAATTTAGTTTACCAATTTGGTAAGTTATATTAAAATACACATACATGATAGGATTGGAAAGTACATGACTCCTAAGCACAGAACATGATGAAATTTTATAGAGCTAACACAGTTACGTGATAGGTACCCAGACAATAGGCAGAACACAACAATACCCTAGAAGTGTTCCTGGCTCTTATGTACATCAAGTTCTTATGTACCTCCAAGGATCACAGCTGTCCTAACTTCTTAAATAATGCTCATTTGGGTTTTATTGTAATGGAGGCAAATGGTATACCCTCTTCAGTCTCACTGGGTTAGCATCGTTTTTGTGAGATTTATCTATGATGTTGTGCACAGTTGTGGCCTGTACGTTCTCAATTGCAAATTATACCCCAATTTATTTATTCATTCTACCAGGAAGGAACATTTGGGTAGTTTTCCATTTGACCCTATTATATATAGTGATGCTATAAATGGCTATAAATGCTTAAAGTACTGTGAATAATTAAATCACTTTGTACAAAGTGCAAGTCTATAAAAACATGATATTGAAAAAAAAAACTGTAAAAGTACCTGGAAGTCTCTAGTGGCCTCTTGTATTTCTTCTTCCAGCTTTTGGATCTCCTCACGTAGCTTCATATTTTCTCTTTGAATTTCATCAGTTGCTTCCTAAAAGAAATATTGAATAGTATGGTAAAATTAAATAACTCTTCAACCCTTTTTTTCTAAGTTAATTGAAGATGCCAAATTTCCTCCTGAGCAAGGCACCCCAAGAATAAATATGCCCATATTCAGAATGCATTTGTACAATGCTCCATAGGAAATGGACTCATTACCTCATGTAACTGTAACCACTCTGTACAGTATCTTTACAATAAAAAATATATTTTGAAAAAAATTTTAAAAGAGGGGGCGGGGGGGAGGCTGGGAAGGGATGAAAAGGGTAAATAAAGGAGGAGGCTGCAATGCTTGATAAGAAATGTACTCATTATCTTGCCCATGTAATTGTAACCCCTCTGTACAGTATGTTCACAAAAAATTAAAATTAAAATTAAAAAAATAAATAAAAATAAAAAAATTTTAAAAGAATGCATTTGTTGAATATTCTAGAACATCAACTGCTAATTCTAACACTACCAAATTTATAGTTCCATTATATGAGAAAAGGCATATGCTGACTTCACAATGACCAAGCACCCAGGAATTTTTACAATTTCAGAAAGGACTTAGATGCTTATCTTCTGAATCTTAGGTCAGTTCTTAAAACTCCCTTCCAGGCTATATTGATAACTATAAGTTGCACTATGATTGTGAACAAGTTATTATGGTTCAGAATATAATAATTAGCCATGATTCCCATAATAACCAGAAGTCTTGATCTGCCAAATATAACAGAGGTCTGTTACCCAGACCTCAGTTTCCTCTTGAATCCAATCAGAAGATTATTAACTAATCTCTGAACTTTCAGGTACAAATGCAAAAACTGAAGGAAGTCTGTGAGAAATAGCTTATGTAAACAAAAAGCTGGAAAAATTCAACAAAACTTAAACACTTTTGAGAAGTCTAATAACCCTGAAAATTCATGATAAAGTTGGACTTAGGCATACAAAGCATGCTTTAGCTTCAAACTAATAACTATAAGTTACTTTTTAATAATAATCTGATCATTTCCTTCTTACCTTATTTTTTTCATCTTTCATTAATTGTTTATTCAGATACTTTGTCCAGAATGTGCTGTGTCCATTAGCCTCCATATTCCGTAATTATTTTTAAGAAGACTTTAAAATAGAAAATTTGCAAATTCAAGAATAAAGAAATTATCATTTACTCTTTCATGAAAATAATAATTTTTTCTAACATCAAAGCATTATGCATCCAAAGTTTGAATTTCAAATAATGCTTACATCCATAAACATGTTAAAAGGTTCTAAAATTCTTTAAATACAATAGTATTCAGTAAATTGTATTACATTTCTTTATAATTCAAATTCCACTTCTAGTATTATGCTCCATTTTTAAAGACTACTATTTTGATCTTCCAAATTTTTTCAAAGTTCTGCCTCTTTTTTTTTTTTTTTGTAACTTTTGATTCTTCTCATAAAGCTTAAAATCCCCAACACCCACTTTCTCATCTGCTCCTTGAGCAATGGCTGCTAGGACTGGAACAGGAATTATTTGAGACAAGCCTAAAATAAGCTTGGGGTACCAGAAAATTGAACAACATTAAAAAAATACAAAAACAATTACCTGCCAGGCTCTGGTGGCACATACCTGTAATCCTAGCTACTCAGGAGGCTGAGATCTGATGATTGTGGCTGGAAGCCAATCAGGGAAGGAACGTCCATGAGATTTTTATTTCCAATCAACCAATAGAAAACTTAGAAGTGGAACTGTGGCTCAAAGTGAATACGCTCAGGGACAGAGCCCAGGCCTTGAGTTTAAGCCCCATGACCCACAAAAATAAACAAACTAGAATGTGAAAGAGATACAGGATCTAAGTAAAAGAGTCCCTAGTGCCAAGGATACATTCAAGGAATTGATCAAGTAAGTAATATGTAGATGATGAAGGAACCAGGGATTTCACTGACAGAGAAGGCAATTACAAATATAGAAAGGAAGAAAATAATAATGAATCCTGTTCAATGAAACTGGATATATCAATGAAATCTCATGGTTGATGATAAATAGATAATACATGATGAATGGTTTATAAATTGATGGCTAGGTAGCAACAGAAGTAAAAAATGTGTGGATGTATATATACACATACATACATACCCTAGTTTTGGCTACTGGGAGTAGGAGGTAGGAAGTAGAGATGGAAGTAGTGAGCAAGCCTGGCACCCCAGCTTTGCTATCTAATAATATTCTCCAAAGAACCAGGATTTTTTTTTTCTTTCTTTCTTTTTTTGGCACCAGTCCTGAGGTTCAATCTCCGGACCTTGGTGCTATCCCTGATCTATTGTGTTCAAGGCTAGCACTCTACCACTTGAGCTAAAACTCCACTTATGGCTTTTTAGTGGTTTATTCGAGAATTTTCTGCCCTAATCACAGCCCTCAGGTCTCAGTCTTCTGAGGAGCTACAGGCATGAACCACCAGCACCTGGCTCAGGATTGTTTTTAATCATTTTTTATTATCTTTAAATAGCTGTACAAAGGGTTTTCAATTCAACACGTGGGTTTATCAGTGCAATGCATTTTGACCCCTTTCATCATTCTTTATCTCTCCCAACACCATCCATCCCTTCAAATTCCTTACTTCCATTTCCCATATGTGCCTATATTGAATGGTACGTATTTCACATATATACATATACTGAATATTATGGCTACATTCAGCCACCTTTCCTCTCTCTATTCATCTGCAACTGCTCTCCTTGACCCCTACCCCCAACATACACCCAAGTTCAGCTTCCTAGCATTCATTTTGTTAAACTGTAAGTTGCTCAAAGGATTCCCATCATTGGAATCCTCCTCTGAATATACCACACTTTAGTTAATACATTTGTGTATATATGCATATAGCCCTATACATGGTTTTTCCTATTTGGGGGGTGGGGGTTGTTTGACAGTTTAAACACAACTGATACTAATGCAGAACTGACAGAGTTTCTCCATTTCAGCGGGGCTGTATAATGCACATGAAGGAATTTAAAAGTTGGATTTTGACTTTTTTTTTTAACTTTTATTTATTTATTGGAACTCTCTTGGTCAAATCCTCATGTAATAAATCTGCAAATAAGGCAGGCTTGGTATATTAGTTTCAAAATACCCACACGCACACACAAAATACTGAGCAATTTCAAAGAAAAAAAGAGTGACTTTGTAGTGAAGTCTGGCATCCATTACCATCTTGAGATAATCAAAGTAAATAATGGAATAAATCAAAGTCATGTAACATATAATAGGACAGAACACAGATATCCCGGCCAAAAACACATTATCTAAATCTATTCATGAGAAAACATTAGACAAGTTCAAATTGAGGCACATTCCACAGTCTAATATCCCTGTCCCCCTTAAAAAGTATCCAGTACACAGAAATGGAGGGAGGAAAGGTGAACAAATGTCATCATACTCTGTGGAAAGTGAACTCTGCAACTTGCAAACAGGGACATGAGTGGGGGAAATGGGGAAAAGTGAAGTGAAGAATTGGGCTCATTACCTGACTTATGAAATGGTAATTCCTATGTACAATACCTTAATAATAGCAATATAATTATACACACACACATTGTTGTTGCTGTTGTTGTTTTTTTGTCAGTTGTGGGGCTTGAACTCAGGCCTGAGCACTGACCCTGAGCTTTTTTTTTTTCTTCTTCAAGGCTAAGGCTCTGCCACTTTGAGCCACAGCACCACTCCCAGTTTTCCCGTGGTTATTTTTGTAGCTAAGAGTCTCACGGACCTTCCTACCCAGGCTGGTTTGGAACTGTAATCCTCAGATCTCAGCCTCCTGAGTCACTAGGATTACAGGCATGAGCTATAGATGCCTGGTAAAATAATATTTTAAGTAAATAAAAAGTATCCAGTTCAGGAAAGCCAAGGAAAGATGGAGAAATTTTCAGAGTGAAATGTGAGGATTGTGATTTAATGCCACATGGAGTAGAAAGGTCCAAGGTAGAAAAGTCAAGAGAGGAGCTGGGAAGGTGGCTCAGTGGTAGAGCGCTTGCCTTGCATGCCTGAGGCCCTGAGTTTGATTCCTCAGCACCACATAAGCAAAAAGAAAAAAGCCGGAAGTGGCGCTGTGGCTCAAGTGGTAGAGCGCTAGCCTTGAGCTGAAGAGCTGAGGGACAGCGCCCAGGCCCAGAGTTCAGGCCCCACAACCGGAACCAAAAAAAAAAAAAAAGAGAGAACCTTAACTCCAATTAGCTAGCAAAAAGCTGATGTAGAAGTGTGGTTCGAACACCAGCCATGAAGGAATAGCTTGAGGCCCTGAGTTCAAGCCCCAGGATTGCCACAAAAAAAAAAGGAAACCAAACACATGAGTGTTTGTTCATATATGATATCACATACATGTGAAATCCTAATTACATTTCCACAACACAGAAGCAATAACAATATTTAATAGCTTTTCAAAATTATTATCACTATGCCAATACTCTTATCAGCTGTATAAAAGGCTCTCCTTATAAATTGTGTACTGTAAAATACCTCTAGAAAACGTCTGGCATATTTGCCCATGGGAAGAATTTCCCCTGTAGTGAGGGGGATGTATGATCATTCTTTCCTCTTTCGTAATCATGTGGTAGGCGGAATCCCCTCAAGGATATCCATGGCCTAACCCTGAGAATTGATCTTAAAAAAATAAAAAACTAGATAATACTGCAAAGGAGAATTAAAGCCACCAATTAAATTCAAGTTGTTATTCAACAACCTGTCTAAAATACAAACTATCCTGAATGAGCAGTGGAGGCTTAATATGAACAAGAGGGTCCCTAAAAGTGAAAGAAAGAAAAAAAGAAAGAAGGCAATGTGAGGACAGAAAAATAGCCAGAAGTACCACGCTACTGACTTCAAAGCAGAAGAACACTAAGCTAAGAGTGGCCAGATTCTAGAAACCCATAAAGGAAAGCAACACTTTGACCTTAGCCCAGGGAGACTTGGATAGGATTTCTCATCTATAGAAATCTAAAAATGGGGCTAGAAAGTTGGCTCAGTGGTAGAGCGCTTGCCTTGCATGCCTGAGGCCCTGGGTTCAATTCCTCAGCACACATAAGCAAAAAGAAAAAAGCCGGAAGTGGCGCTGTGGCTCAAGTGGTAGAGCGCTAGCCTTGAGCTGAAGAGCTAAGGGACAGCGCCCAGACCCAGAGTTCAGGCCCCACAACCGGACAAAAAAGAAATTAAGGAAAAAAAAAAAAAGAAATCTAAAAATGAACAGAGTGTGTGTGTGTGTGTGAGAGAGAGAGAGGGAGAGAGAGAGAGCGACAGAGACAGAGAGACAGAGAGAGACAGACAGAGTGCACATGCTCACTAACTCCATTTAAAAATTAATTTAAAAATTTTACAAATTGTACAAATCTACCTGACTTATGTAACTGTAACCCCTCTGTACATGACCTTTATAATAATTTTTAAGCTTAAAAAATATAAATCACAAAAATAAAATAAAAAAATACAAATCACTGTCATAATTAGTTCTCAAATGATACTCATCTATCACCATCTTGTAAAATCAATTTTTCTATATGCATGACTAGCAGCCAAAGAAAGGAAATAGAATGTATGCATCTTGTTCAGACTTGAATCAATGTGCAAAATTACAATCAATGGACAAAATTACAGTGATTTAATTTTACATCTCAACTGTTTTTAGTTTACAATTCTAGAGTCAGGCAATATTTCATTCTATAAAATAGGATGAGGGGGTTCCGATGAGCTGAGCAGAAGTTGATTTTATTGACAGAAAAACACTGAATAGAGCAAAAACAACAGAAAGTGCAGAACTAGCTACTATCAGTTTACTTTCCTGTAAGAGTTATAGTTTATAATCAAGAAAAGGTTATATTTCTCCCTTTCCCTCCCCCTTTGGTGACATAGAACTTTAGCATAGGTTACGTTTTTTTTCTGTCTCTTGGGACTCAATACAGGAGTACAGGATTTAGGGCCAAAATAATGACGTCCTATAATTTTTAACTGCCAGTAGTGTTCTCTTTGGGGTATCAACTTCCAGCAAAACGTTGCGTATTCTGAAAAGTGAGGCGTGACTCCAGAAACCTGGGCCAGCCAAGGAGCATAATCCCCCTCAAAACTCCGTTTTCCTAAGAACGAACTCTCTCTGGAGACACTCTGGGAAGCAGTGAGGAGACATAAATCAACTTTCAGTTTTCCAAATGAAACACAGGCGACCAAAGGGCGGGGGTCGGGGGGGGGGGGGTGGCGCGCTAAGGCACAGAGACGCCCAAGTGAAGGCCTTGGAAGCTCGTGCGCCCCTGGGACTTGTGATCTCAATGCCCTGGACCCCCCACCCCCGGCGTCCCCCCACCCAGGGATCCTCAACAGGGACCGGACGTCCCACTCACCCCTGACTAGCAGCCGAGAGAGCGCAGCTCTCAGGAACAGCCTGGCCTTCCGGGAAGCCGGGCAGAAAGGAGGGCGCAGGGCAGGACGTCCCGGTCCGGCTGCCTGCGTGGAGATCCCAGGGCCTTCACAGCTGGGTGCCTTCGCCAGAAAGAAGGCAAAAAAGAAGAAAAGCTCAAGTGGAGATTTTTCTTTCAAACCTAAGCACCGGCTCTGGCGAAGCGGGCGGCTCTGGCGAATTGCCACCAGCAAGACTTGATAACTCATTTCACTTTCGATTTCTGAAACGTGATGATGGAAGCGCCCCGGAAAGTATTGCTGGAAATAGTTTCTATTTTCAAGTTTATATGTTCTAGAAATCTTCTGTTTCTAGAAACAATGTGAAGGGCTGGATTTAAAAAGCACATTTGTGTATGTGATCTCTAAAACCTATGGATGGCAAAAATGGATCAGAGCCACATGAGCTCAAAGCAGAATCTCTCTTCCCCTACTAGCTCTCCACGTAATGTGTCACACATCATCACTTTGAGTATAATATTTACAGCCCATCCACGATCAACTTTTCCAGCATCCCCAGGGCCATGAATTTGGGAAAGCTGTGCTGTTGGGTTTGGTTTCTACGACCCAAATCTGTGAAATGTTTCAAACATTTTATTTTGTTGTGAAGATTATAAACAACTGCTCACTAGGTGTAAGCTTTTCCGTTGAAGATAAAAACATCTGGCTTATTTCAAGGAATGTGTTTCCTAACAAAAGTGAGAGGAAGGAGATGTATGGAAACAATTTCAAGGCCTAAATTCTAAGTTATATTATTGTGTGGGTGTGTCTAGTAACTCCGATGGTACGGGGGTGGAGAACAACCGGCCTCCAAAATCATTTCGGACAAGATTCTCCATTAGCTGCCTCTATTGATCATTTAGTACCGCCCTGAAATAGTTCTAGATATCCACATGGCCTTGGCAAAAGAAATGGTTTCCCGTGCCCATAACAGAAGCAAAAGTCATTTCTAGCAACAAGATTGATGGGACTCAGTTGACAGTGGCTTGTCTAAGTGAATAAATCCCATATGGAGTACTAAGAAAGTCCTATTCATCAACCCCATCAGAAAGCACATCTCCATGTGTTGTAATTTGAACTTTAGAGGTAGCATGAACTCGATAAATAAGATTTCCAGGAGTCTATTAGTTGGAACGGATCTCCTATATTAGGCTTATCAGATTAAGACCAAAAGAGTTACTAGTTTATGCTGAAATTTCAAGACACCAAGAAATCGGGTGAGAAAATAGCCAATTCCTCAAACAGACCAACATTAACAACCTGATTTTTTTAAAAAACTGCTCTTTGCCTTAACCATTGCAAGAAAAGTAACTTTGAAGGGACTAACCCACTTTCTTGTTCCAATTTTTCATCTCCCATTGTTTTTGCCTATAAAACCAATATCCTTCATAAGATCAGCTAATATGTGATTCTAGAATCACAAATCAAAGCCAGTTAGAACTTCGAATGTTATAATGTTGATAACTCTACTTACGAGGTTATTTAGTTCAATATCATTTTTTCTCTCTTTCCTTCCTTCCTTTCCTTCCTTCTTTCTTTCTTTTCTTTTCTTTCTCTTTTTTATTACCAGGGCTTGAATTCAGGACTCAGGGACCATGCACTCTCACTCAGCTTGTTTTTTTCACCACTGGCACTCTTAAGCCACATCTCCACTCAAGCTTTTTACTGGCTAATTAGAAATAGAATCTCTCAGACTTTTCTGTAGGGACTAGCTTCAAAGCTCAGTTCTTCAGATTTCTACCTCTTTAATAGCTACACTTTTATGCATGAGTCACTGGTACCTGCCTACTTTTTTCTTATAAACAGATATAAAAGGTTCCAAGGCATGCCTAGAAAAGAGCAGATCGAACACAGATTTAGATCCTATTAAGAGAGCAAAGGACATAGGTAGAGGGGAAGGCCTTTAGGCCATCAACATTCTTTATCATTTTGTTTTAATTTGGTTTTGTTGGAGACATAGCCTCGATACCTCAAATTCATAACTCTCCTGAGGCTGAGACAACCTCTCAAGTGCTAGGATCACAAGCACGTGGCATCACACCAGGGTGCATCACCATCATTCTAAAGCTGAACTATGTGCTGACAGTCCATGTGCTAACAGTACAGCTGAATTCAACTCAACTTTGAAGTCAGTACTTAGCAAACCATTAAGTGGAATAGCCAAAGTCCTATAAATATTATTAGTAGTAATTGTAATTGGTAAATGAGTGGCTCACACCTGTAAACATAGCTACTCAGGAGGCTGAAATTCCAGTTCAGACCCAGCCCAGGCAGGGTATTGGTGAGACTCTTATCTCCAATTAACTACCAAAAAGGCCAGAAGCAGTGGTAAAGCATATAACAAAAAAGCTAGGGGCAGCACACAGATTCTAAGTTCAAACCCCAGTACCAGTACTAGAAAATAAAAAATTCTTATTTAGTATTGATCATGTACTCAAGTATACATTATGCCTGAAGTTTTAATATCTTGTGTAAATATTCACAGATAAATGATATATGTTATATAACATTTTTCTCCTTCCTTTGATAGCAATGAACTCCTTCCAGACTACATACCACACACACACACACACACACACACACACATACAGAGTCACCCCAGACACTTTATCTTCTGGTGTCTTTATCTTGGACTTCCAGCTTCCAAACTGGGTAATATAGATGTGTGCTGTTTATGAAAGCCAACCATTATATGGTATTTTGTTATGGCAACCAAGTGGACTAAAAAAGTGTGAAAACATACGAGGGAGTGAAATATGATTAGGTTTGAAAAACCACGAGAAAGCAACCTAATAGCCACTATCTTGTGCTCTTCCAAGACATCACATAGCAAAGCTGCTGTTTTTCCCAAGATATTATTAATCCAGTTTGAAGTTCACCCTTGGAAAAGTTTGGATACTTACATCCAGCATTGTGCAAGATCCTAGGGGATTACAAAGGAATCAAGTAACACGGTTCTAATTTTCACAAGTTTTGCTATTGCAACATACAAATGGAAAATATCTAAGGAATATATCTCACTCAGACAAAACTCTCCACGGTATATCACTGGAAAGTAGTAGCCATTTCAGTTCATACTACAGTATCTCTTTCTTTCAGTTCTTGGAACATGTTTCTTCTTGTTTGTCCTCCTTACATAGGTACCATTAAGATGAAAACCTTTTTAAATTTTCTTTTATGCCACCTGCAGTTAGTACAGTGATCATACCTAATGCATGCTATTCAAGTATTTTTTTTCAAGTATTCATTTCTAACCAGTGTTAACACTACCAGAGAAGTCAAATGCTCTGGGCCCAGTGTGTAGGTGAATATAAAATATTATGACAGAAGCCAGATATTTTTTAATAGAACTACATGTAAGCCAAAAAATAACAATTAGAGAATGGCAAGCTTCATCTTGTTGAATTCTGCCTGGGTCACTGATATATCATGAAAATGTAACCAATCCATCAAAAAATTCTGTTGCATTGCAGTGTATGGAGAATGAAGTATCATCTTTGACAAAGCTGTAAAGGGAAACATAGACTGATCTTGAAATTCAAAAATAAACATTGATCCTTGAGGATTTTTCTGTTTTTACTTTTGTTGTGCCAATGCTGAGGCTTGAACTCAAGGCCTCATAATCTTACTTGGTTGGTTGGTTGTTTTTTTTCCATTCAAAGCTAACATTCCACCACTTGAGTCATAATCAGACTTCTTAAATATTGATCTTAGATATCCATGCCTAGAAGATACCAAGTAATATACCTCAATATTATAGTATAGTATACTATATTATAGAAATGAAGGAGATCTGAGGATAGGCTGAGGTTTTCTTGCTTTATATGTACAATTGAACATTCTAGACTGCTTATGACAGAACTCTCATAGGATGCATTGATGGTGGTATAAATCCAACTATTTGGTTTGAACTTAAGGTCACTATGGAGAAAGTGCTCAGAGAATCTTAAGTTCTTAAGAGTCTCTAAGGCTTAAAGAGAAGATAGCCTGAAATGTTGGAAAATAGGAATATCAAATTCTTGTGGTTCTCTCACCACAAATCCCTAATAAGGAACAATTAAGCAAAGCATCCAAATGAGTCAATGCAGCCTCTCACAGAGTTTACTTTTTAAGAAAGTCTGCATGTATGAATGGCCAGTAAAGAAATGTTAGAAGAAGCTGGGCATTGGAGACTCACACCTGTGATCTTAGCCACTCAGAATGCTGAGATCTGAGGATTGAGGATTGAAGCCAGCCTAGGCAGACAAATCTATGAGACTCTTACCTCCAACTTAACCATCAAAAAGCACCAGTCTTGAGCAAGGAAAAATATGAAGCCCTGAGTTCAAATGCTAGTACTAGCACAGAAGAAGGAGGAGGAAAAGGAGGAAGAGAAAGAATATTAGGAGAAATCATTTTACTTGACTACTTTTATCTTTCTATTTGAGACTTAGTGAACCTAGTTATAGATAAGAACAGAACTTCTGCTAATACACATCTTAGTGTAGATATGATCTCTTTTAATTTCCCTTGAAACATGTGCCATAGATTCAAAAAAGGGTTAAACTTACGTCTGGAAGGCCATCATGTAGATCAGTACTTCTCAAATTTCAATGTCCATATGAATCTGCCAAATATTTTGTTAAATCACATGTTGGGATCCTGCAGATTTAGAATGGAGATTCTTTTTTTGTTTGTTTGTTTTTATTTTTGTCAGTTGTGGGGCCTGAACTCTGGGCCTGGGTACTGACCCTCAGCTCTTCAACTCAAGGCTAGTGCTCTACCACTTGAGCCAAGCACCACTTCCAGCTTTCTCTGCTTATGTGGTGCTGAGGAATTGAACCCAGGGCCTCATGCATGCAAAGCAAGCACTCTACCACTGAGCTACATTCCCAGCCCCCTGGAGATTCTTTATTAATAAGGTTTCCAGGTGATGCCCATGGTGCTGTTTCGACTGTACTATGACTAACAGGCTGTAGTCTAACCATATACTAATTCAAAGACTAACCAGAACCAGTCATTGCAGTGAGAGGGTTCTATCTAAACTTTGTCTTATCTCAGTTAGGGTGCTCCAGGGCTTCTTCCTGTTTACCAGTCTGACTGGTGGGTCCATCATTGAAAAGTGAAGTATTTCTAGAAGTCCTTGGTGCCCTTTACTGAAGAAAGAAGAGCATTTGTTCTGGTCTCCTATGCCATGTCCTAACAGAGAGTGCTAGG